GTGGAACTGTTTTCAGGGTGCCAGCTGTGAAGCTGTTGACATATTGAGTATCATCAGACAAGGGATAGGAGGAACACTATCATAAACTCCTTTTTCATGTCATGCAACTGTTGACTAACTGTTGACTCTGGGATAGGAGGCACTATATCCTAGATTCCTTTTTTTACTGTATGTCCTGAAACTGTTGACTACTGAGTCTCCTCTAGTCAGGGGTAGGAGGCAATTTTATGTTTTTTGGAGTTGTACCTTGGAGGCGTTAAAATTGAAAAGATCAAGCGCTGAACTGCCATCAGGGTAAACAACACTGAAAAAGCAGGACGTCAGATTTTGTTTTCAGCAGTCTACTTGCAGAAGATGTTTAAATGAGGATCACTCCCTAGCCAGTGCTGTGACTTGGCTGGCTGAGTATATTCAGCATGCAGCTGCGACAGCAGTGCTCTTCTGCATTTGCCTCAGTATTGAAAAGAGCCAGAACTGTTTAGAACACCTACTGTACTTTGTTCTCAGCAATGGGAAATGTATGATGCAGTATTCTGCCAGACTGCCTTTTCCTTGAAGTTTCTACAGAAGGTAGTGGTTGTGGGAAATCGTCCAAATAAGGGAGCCGAAACCACAAGATCAGTCACCATAAAAGCACTGATGCCCTCTAAGTAGAACCTTTGTTAAGAAAATAATTTATGGAATTATCCTAGCTTTCCCAGCATGGTTAAATCTAAGGTATACTTAAGACAAGGACGACAAACTCATTTGCTATGATGGGCCAAACTTGATTTAAATGTACTCCAAGTAGGCCACAAATATCAAATAGTATCAAACTATTAGATACTGTACAACCATTATTTTATTTAAAATATCATCATTGTGATTATTGTACACTATGTAAATCTATGCTCCATTTAAAAGAATATTGTCTGGATGTCTCTTATGAGTTAATTAAGCAACTGTATACACCCACGCCTGGTTATACAACAGCTCAATTTACATTAACTTTTGCTACAAAGAAGTGTGGATTTTAATCCCTGTTTTTCACTGTACAGGGCCATTTTCACTACAATAAAGGCACTTACAATGAGCTCTCATTTACTTTATTGTTAGCCATTGTCCTTATTTTCAACATCATGTCAGCAAAGAGTGCTGTCAGAGCTTCAGGTGACACGTAAACAAAGAAAACAAGGAACGTATCCCCCTGGTTGTGGAACGTGAAGTGGGAGAAAGGATTGAAAATGGTGAGAAGTTGAAAGATATTGGAATTGCTATAAACTGTTTGACTCTCTAATTTGTACATATTTTGTCTTGCCAACTACTACAGTATGCTAAATTAAATAAACTAATTAGCATAAACATTTAACAGTGTTGTAATTTTCACAATTCAAGACCTCTAAATTAACAGTGTGTAAATTAGGCAATTTACTAGACCTCAGGAAGGCTTAAGATGATTTAAGTGATTGCTATGAGAAATTTCACATTACAGAGTTGTTGAGGATTGAATTACTCTTGCATACTGAGGGATAGGTGTATATGAATATCAATTAGTAAACTACAGGATTGAAATGCAAATTGCACTTGAGCTGGGATTAGTGATCAGCATCACCTGTAAACTCTGCTTGAGAGACTGATGAGACCAACATGACACATCATCATAAAGTGAGCAGCAGCACAACAATGTGCTGTGCAATTGTCACTTTTAGTACTTTTAGCTAAAAAAAAGAATCGGTAGAAGGCAAATTTAATAAGTTACTATGTAACAAAAAATCAGAACATAATACTTCCAAAGCTATTGCTATTGCTCTGTGGCACCTCAAACCGAAAATGTCAGCTTTCCATTCACAGCTCCAAAGATATATAAATTATCCCTCTTGTCTTGAACCATACAACATTGCTTTTCTTTAACTCAAGAACAATAATTACTAGGCCCTGTCACTGTTTTCAAAAGTCTCCTACTTAGACAATGTGAAACACTACAGTTTCTACAGAAACACCACAGTTTCAGTGAGATCAATGGTGATATACTGTAGCTGCTGAAGCTGCTCACAGGTAAAGCTGTGCAGTTTGCAGACAATGATTTATTTTTAATCAGATCATTTCAGTGAAATAAATGAATCCATTGCTCATCTGATTCACTCAAGTCTTTCAGCTCAGGGAGACGAATG